CAACCAAGGTGTCCGAATTTTTACTAATCGACTAATCCCTCAAAATGAGTGTAGTCGTCGAGTAGTTCACTCACCGGGTTTTCTACTGGTTCTAAAATGTGATATCATTTCGACTGGCCAAACGTAAGTGAAAGTGTTCTCAGGAGAATCAAATTCATGTTGAAAAGGTTTACCTCATTCTTCTAAATTTTTTTACCACTAGGTCACCACCACTTGGTTAGTTACAAAATTTGCATATCTAAAATCGTAATTGTTTTGTTTTGATTTGTACACTTGATTGTTCATTCATCATATTGAAACAAGTAGTTTAATGGTGACAAATCATTTATTCACTCGAACATAGCTAAAACTAAACAATTAATGATTACAAATAAATCAAAAACAAAATGGCAATCTTCAAAGAAGTTTCAAGTATGGGACTTCGTCGGTGACAATTTACACGTAAATATTTAATATGATAGGATTGTATGCATCAAACATTAGTGGTACGGCTGAATTAAAAATTTGAACAGCTGTATATAATACGAAGTGAATCAATCATATGATATGAAAGTACAACACGTCTTTGTCCTCTAACCGTACATTCTTTCTGGCAACTCAGAGTTAAAGTCATGAGCCAGCCTATCATATCATGGCCCTAATCTATTGTGCATTTTTTCTTCTTTTTTTTGTCAACTAAATCTTGTCCGAGATGACCTGGGCCGAATTCATTATAGAGACTTGGATAACTCGCCGGAAAAACTCATTTCGCCGACTACTGTGCATTGTGCTGACTACTGTCTCTGCCGACGACTGTCTCTGATGATGACTACAAGCTTAGAAACGCCGACACCGTCGCCTTGGAAATCTCAACACCTCGTCGACTCTGTCATCCTAGAGAACTCGACACTTCGCCGACACCCTCGCCGGTGCCGACGACCTGGAGAGCTCGGCATTTGGCCGAGAATGGCTTGAATCAGCCCATTTGGTCTACTACAAAGAAGTGGGCTGAGGTCTACAAGTCCAAGGTGGCGAGATGAAGAGGTCAAGCTCAAGACGACGAAACCCATGGCGAACGCGGACTTTGATAATAGGAAATCTCGAGAAATAAGGAAATTTTCCTGATTTACTCAGTAAAAACTCTAGGCGATTTAGACTTGTATATATACTCTTGTAACTCTTTTGTAAAGGGATATGCAGTTTTTACACAGTAACACTTAGCAAAAATCAATAAAGCTTTTTTAACAACAATCTCGTGTTTTTCTCTGTGTTCTTGTGATTCTTTATCAGATATCTCGTATCTTTCTTAAAATTTTTTATAAATTCAATTGCGTTGATTTCGACCATCACGGTAAATATTGTATCAGCGATTTTCATTTTGAACCATTTAACTAAGAATAATTGCTGGAGAAAAAATCATCACCGACATAATTTACAATCATGGACGACGACTGGTAATATCATGTGTGAAAAAACGAATTTAACTTCTGTTATTGGGTCACAAGAGTCAAGACCCCCAACAAAATTAAAATACACTTAATTTTAAGCGTTTTATGTTGATTCTATGCATTTCCCGAATGAGAAGAATGAATTT